ATGTGGATGTTGTAGATCTGGATTTCAGTAAGGTTTTTGATAAAGTTCCTTTTGAGAAGCTGATACTGAAAGTAAAAAAGAGCGGGAATCAGTGGAGGTATATTACGATGGATACACAATTGGTTGCCCAGAAAAACACAGAAGGTGGTGGTACAGGTGGTGCCATCAGACTGGAATAATGTTACCAGTGGAGTTCCACAAGAATCTGGTGTGTTTAATATTTATTTATATTAATATTTAATAATCTTTTGTTTAATATGTTTAATATGTTTAAATTGGGTTTGTTCACGCTGAAAAACAGATGATTGAGAGGTGACATGATTGATGTCTTTAAAATGATCTGAAACTAGAAATTCACAAGCACAGTTGCTAAGTTTGCAGATGACACCAAGCTAATGAAGGTGGCAGATGGCGAAACTGAATAAAATAGATTAAGGAGGATTTGAACATACTTGGGAATTGGGCAGATCGCTGGCAGATGAAATTCAATGTGGAGAAATGTGAAGTATTTCACATGGGAATAAAAAATCCTAGAAGGGACTATTATTTGAACGGAAGGACAATAATAGCTATGATAAATGAAAAGGACCTGGGTGTCCTGATTGACATTAAATTAAAGCTCTTTTAACAACGCTCTGTGGCAGTGAGTAAAGCAAACCAGATGTTGGGATGTATCAAAAGATCAATAGCAAGCCAAAATAGTGGGGTAATCCTGCCACTGTATAAATCATTGGTGGGACCTTACTGAGTACTATGTACAGTTCTGGTCACCTCAGTACAAGAAGGATATTGGAGAAATCGAGAAGATACAGAGGAGGGCAACGAAAATGACTGAGGGAGTGGAAGGACTGGACTATGAGGAGCAACTAAGTAAATTGGGTTTGTTCACGCTGAAAAACAGAAGATTGAGAGGTGACATGATTGATGTCTTTAAAATTCTAAAGGGGCAAGACAATATAGATCATGACAGGCTGTTTCAACTTGTCCAGAATAGTAGAACCAGAGAACACGGCCTGCGATTGAAAGGGGATAAATTCAGAACAAATCTACGCAAACACTATTTCAGTGAGCAAATAGTGAACCTGTGGAGCAGGCTCCCTATGGAGTCTGTTGAAGCAGGAAGTGTTGATTCTTTCAAACACAGATTAGGTAATTTCTTTTAGGAAATAACATTATGGGATATAGTACATAGATAGTTTGGGACATATGTGCATGAGGCCGCCAGGAAGGTGAAATAGATGGACTGTGGTCTTTTCTCCTCTAGCATTTCTTATGTTCTTAAAGTTTCTTCTTATCATAACCCTTTACTACTTCATCGGTGAAAGTTATATTTTACTTAAAGAGATTACTAAATATTGTTTTGATGTCCAGGTAAAAAAAAAATGCTATTACACTATATCCTTTCAACATCTCTACTTTTAGCATAAAAACACTTCCCGCATCATGCAGCTGTTGAACCACCAGCATTGTACATGTCACTGCACAGAGCAGTTGTCGGTCTCATTCCCTAACATTGGTATGTGAACTCTCCATGTGAACCTGAGTTCCCAATTAGCTGCAAGTTCTTATCGGAAAGGTTTCAGAACTGTTAAGTCAACTCTATTTATGGCAGCAATTACAACACTGAGGGTAAAGGTTTGGTTCGAAAGCAGTGCTCTGCTCAATTTACCCAGATACTATGAAAACAGTGCCTATTCTCCTAACTTCAATTAGATCCATCTCTTTTCCCTCTGGACAGTAATGATGCTATTGGACACCTGTTGGTTTTCGATAGCCATGGTTTCACTGAACCCTGTACAATTTATAGCTCAAAATGTTAATTTGATGTCTCTTTCAGGTGCCACCATTTGATTGATTGTGGCAGGTCTACTCTTGTAGCTTCCAAGGAGATTGGCTGTTAAACTTGCCAATGAAACAACTCTAATCCAAAAGCCATCGGGAGGCAACTGGGTGGCACAAATGGAGAATGTTCCTCCTCAATAGACTGACTCATCAGTGCTATCGGTCATCTGATTGAAAATGTCTAAATATCTAATTACAGTTACATTTTCCCTTCCAGTCACAGGGTACAGAAAGTACTGCTGTATTCAAAGACTCCACAGTCCCAAGTACTATTGATCTATGAAACTATTAAATATGCTATCTAGATTGTATGTATTAAAACGTTAGTCAGCACTTCATGGCAAGATTATTTTACAGTCTTTAATATCTCTTATAACAGACCAGGATTGGCAGACTGGCTTCTCTCCCAGTCAGTCAATGTGGCTCAGCTACTTACGAGTTGAATTCACTAAGGCACTGAGTTATTTCACCTTTCTCTTTTAACACACTTCAATCCAACTGCAGTTTTATGCTAAAATATCAAAAGAGGACAATACTGCTTTAATATTAGGTAGCAGATTATTACAACATTTTGGTAAGTCATTTTTATTTCTCATTAATTTTTTTGCCTTTCTTCCATTCTACTGGCTCTGAGTTTTGTGCAGGATCCGATTGGGCATCAGAGTCAGGTCTAAACCTTTCCGCTTTTACCTGTCCAAACACATGCATTCAACAGAAAGGTTTTCTCCAAAGAGATCAGAGCGGGAACTCGGTTTGCTTTTCCTTTCCCTGAATTCAGAGCGCTGAAGCCAGCTGTAGTCCTCCCTGGTTGAGGTCAGTTACCTCACAGACTGGAACTTTAATCTCTAAATTGTGTCTATAGGTCAGCTGCTCAAGGGACAAGCTTTCTGAGCTATGAGATCAGTGGTGGTAAGCTATTTTTACACTCTCTCCCCCTTTCTAAGTTTCTGTGTTCTGCACAATTCCACAAAGAAACCAATTTTAATGAGACCAAAGCAATGACTCAGTCTGATCACAAACCCTCAATTGGTTGAGAATATCACGCAGATTAAAAGGTTTTTCAATATTGTCCAATGTTACGCTTCAATAGCCATTTCGACATTCTGATTGTTAAAAAAATCACTGTTAACCTCCCATGGCAAACACTAGCGTGTGCATTGCCATGGTTTACAGTTTCAAGGATTTAACTAGAAACAGATTCCCAATAAAACCCAAACGCTTATCTTAGCAATGTTGTTTTCCTTCAGCTCGTGTTAAGCTTCCAGAATCCATATTGGTCTTCAAGAGGGAACTAGACAAATACTTCAATAATAGTCAGTTACAGGGTAGATAAATAGGACTGAAAGGATTGCTCTTGAGGGAGACAGCTCAGACACGATGGGCTGAATGACTTTATTCTGTGCCGTATATTTCTACAGTTCTGTGCTTTTTTCTAAGTCTTGTAATAAAGACACAACACCAGATTGAGGTCTCTTTGTGTGAAAAAGAATTAAAATATGCTCCATAGCTCCATTCTGAATAAAAGGCCTGTTTTCATTTAAATAAAAAGTGAGGTTAATTAAAGCTGCTGCAGGCTATTAAATTCACTCTTTTAGCTTTAATCAACTTCACTTTTGGCTTTCTTCTGTGCTGTACATTTCTATGGTTCTACTGTAGCCTGTTTTAAATGCTTGACCTTTTACTGAGAAACAGAGATTAGGTTGGGATTAGCTCCAGCAAATTGAAGACACTAAAGAGAAATGTTAATGCTGAGCCATGTCTCAAAACTCTTTATCTGTTCGTAGCCAGTTTGATTTCTGCTACTCAGCTCCCTAAACCAGCCCTAGTAGGCCAAATCCCAACAAGAAATTAGCAACAGTTACATTCACAGCAGGTAGCAATGCAAAGAAACTTTTTAAAACATCCAGCAAGCATTTTCAAATGCCATACAATGAGAAAGCCTCAGGAGTCAGCAAGTTATTTTCTGCAGTGATTGATAGCTCTTGTGACAGAAAGTTGGGAATATATCTTAGTGCCAACATTCCAGGCTTCATCTGAACGTCAGGATAGGTTTGTTCTAGGTCAGCACTCAGAGAAAGCTCGCACAGCTTCAAGTGCTAATTTAACAAACATTTCAGGGATGCAACAATCAAAAATCATAACAGTACCCACATTCATGCTGATAATCCTGATGTCATTTTAACTGCTGTTAAATCAAAGTTAGCTATCATCTTCATGGTCAATCTCCACATACAACTTGCATTTATATAGAGCCCTTCATGCAGGATAGCATCTCGAAGTGCTGTAAAGTGGGGTGACTGTGTGTTTTGTGGATGAACTCACAGCCAATTTGCCCTGTCACAGCAATGTCCTACTTACAGCCATGAAACGAATGACCAATTTTATTTGGCGGATTATTGGCCAGGATACCGGAAGAAACTTTCCTTTTCGCCTATTGGCATGGAATCTTTAGGATTCTTACCTCTAGGATCTGCTTCAAATCCAGTTGAAACTGATAGGATAGAATTTTAACAAAAATCATACTCACAATACACAACTCTGCTGACACTAAATCAATACTTACTCATAGAGACCAAATGATTTTTGCCTTGACAGCTGAGAATTGTCACACTGATTCCACTTACTTAGGTTCGAGTGAAGGTCCGTGGATGGAGCAGAGTACAGGGAGCTTTATTTTGTATCCAACCAAACTATTCCTGATTTAAGAGTGCTTAATTATGATAATATATGTCCAGAATGAGGAAATAAACATAAAATATTTTTATTTTCTGCAAAAACTATTCTTGTTTCAGTTTTTGTTTTTTTAAAATCCCCAAAACGCCCAGTGGAAGTAAAGTTTCAATTTTAATCTGACAAAAATAAAATGTAAAAATAATAAATCCGTACAGGTGATGCGAGATGAAAGCAGTTGTATCCTGCTCGATTTCCTAATTTGCGTATGGCAAATGTTTAAACGATCATCAGGTTTACTGAATGTTCTGAACCCAAATATGAGTGTGATGTATTGACTGAAGAAAACATGATGTTTCATTTTAACAGGGGATTTGACAGGATCTGAAAGGAAAAGTCACAGCCAAAGTGGGAAAGAATTTCTGTTACGGTTTTATCTGTTTGGGGTAGAAGCCATGCCAGTGCGCTGATGTGTATCAAGTACTCGCCTGTGACTGCGCATTGATGTTGGCTGCCTGCTTCACTAGTGTTTTCACCACTTCACCTTGACCCGCCAGGGATGCGATGTGTAGGGCTGAGTTTCCCTTCTGTTAAACACAAAAAAATCATAACTATTATCCAGAAAGCTTCCACAGTCCACCTCCAAGAGACGAAGAGAAAATCTCAGTGAAAATTACAACTTAAAAGAGAAATGTTTAAAAAAACATTCAGGAGAGTTTCTATCAATTCTCAGTAGAGGCCTGTATAACCAATTGAATTACTATAGCAACACTGTATTGTAATGTCCTATCCTCTATTAGACTGTACTATCCTATATTTGCCTATATAACAACATTCTGATAAACTGGGCCAAATGGCCTGTTTCCATGCCATTCTATGTAATTCACTCCCGTTTGTAATCAATTATATTTTTAAAGCGCTTCAAGACATTTAGTTTACACGAAAGGGGTTAAATAAATACTATCCTACATTGTATCCTACACTGTCGTGTAATGTAGTGTACTATCCAGAAAACAGAAGGCCACCTAGTTTGCTATCTATCACTCTTTTGCTTGTAAATACACTGTTTGGATGATAGGCGTTTGGGATTATTTTTGTGAAATTTCAGCATCGATGACCATATATCAGAGAACAGCAAGCACAAATAATGGATGATTTAGAAAGTGCATAAGAAAAATCAAAGTACCATTCAATTTCCAGAGTTCACTCGTTCTGATAATTATTTTGTAAAGTTTTACAGAAAATCCACCTGCTGAATGTCTTTATCCCAGTTCAGTCCAGATACCCAGATACTGGCGAAATTATAGAACTTCATTATGGAGAGATGGAGAGTTAGAGCAAGAAGGGATGAACAGATTGTAGGCAGAAATTATTGTATACAGAATGTATCCATTCCTACCCCCTTATCTCAAACTCATTCATGCAAACATCCCTCTTATACTGACAAAAAAGTGAAGTTCCAGTCCCTTTTCTGCACATCAATACTAAAAACATACCGTTTAGGTTCACATAAACTCCAGAACACTGACGTCAACATATTGTTTAGGTCCCTAACAGTATTAAAGGCCTTGTTTTATTACCACTTATATCGACAATGTACTCTTAAATGACTATTTTTGACTTACATGAATATATTTGTAAATAAGCTAATGCTTTTTTTATAAATTAGGTAACAAAATTACATGTAAATAAATGGTTCAGGTATTTTAATTAAATGTATGACTATTTATAAAAATAAATCAATGAAAATACATTTAAATACATGGAACACAAATTTTAAGCACAGAATACCTATTGTCCACGACAAACCCCTTCTGTCAACAAACCTCGAATGGTCCCTGACATGTCGACATAAGTGGGGTAGGACTGTAGTTGTTTGAAATAGTTATAACACTATCAGAGGCCTGGGAGAAACTATCCTGAATTCTCTCAAGATTGGTGCATGGGATGGGCTTAAGGAGGAGAAAATAATGGTGAGGCAGGAAGAAGATGCTACAGAAATATAGCAGCAGAAGCACAAGATCAATAAATGAAAGAGTAACATATTTATAAATTGTACAGTAGCGATCAAAGTAACAAGGCTTGGCTGATAAAATGGAACCCTGCTGGTTCTGAGATAAAATATCTGAAAGGGCAGCACATGAATCACAGCCAAATAGAGATGGTCCTTCGCAAAATGTCTAAATTAATCCCTGTTGCCCTGCACTTGGTTCAAAAGAAATTCAAATATGATTTGCTTCAACAAATATACACTGTATTATGGTAATGTTACATGACTCTGCAAGCATCTTTCTCTTTAAATGATATAAATATTCTGGCTTGCAAGCAAAATTACAGCTAGGTCAGGTGCTTGAAACATTTTCTGAAAAGCTGTGAAAAACTGAGACAATAAATTGCATAAAAGGGTATTTGGTGGAAATTAGGTTGTTCTTTCCATTGGAAGAAACTGAGCAGGATTTCTATATAACAGTACTGGAGTTTGGAGATAAAGAAAGGTGATTTAACAGCTAGGTGGTAACATTTGGGAGAGAGGGAGAAGGGAATAGAAGGGAGTAAGCAGTGGGTGGAGTATGAACTCATGTGGGGTTTGAACACTGAAACCAACAAGTTGGTTGTTTCCGTGCTGTACAGTCTATGTAAATCTATATAAATTTTTACTTGTACTATAACTTAAGCTACCATGTTTCACTTCCAAAACTTGAAAGGCAAAACGATTCTTCTATAAACACCAATATGGTTGTTGGTTTGCATGGCTCCCCAATGGCTCTGTGATGATCCACACATGCCAGAAAGGTCTCAGGTTCTATTCCCGTTCTGTGCTGAGTTACCTGATCTCAGCCCAAATTGTAGCAAGCATTTAACAACTGGCTTCAGTTTCCCCCTCCCCTGGATTAAGGAGGGGGAAAACAGCAAATCCCCTTCTACCAAATAATCTGCTGACGCTCATTGTCAAGGCTGACACTTGAATACACTCATTTGGGTGGGGATAGTAATTTGTGCCCATAGAACCATAATTCAGTAAAAGGAAAAGAAGGACTAAATTGCTTACTGAAGCACAGAACTTCATTCTCTGTATTAACTACAATGGCAGCAGCAACGGTAGGACATGAGGTCAGCTTCTTATTCCTCATATCGCAAGTTTCTGATCTCATTGTGTTAGCATCTACTGTAGGCTCCTGCCCTGGAATTTAATCACTGTGACCAGGGTGGAGTTTGCATACCATATCAGAATAATACTGTATGTGTGATAACCATGTTATGCATAGGTGTGACTGAGTGTGAGCAAAGCAGTTTTACATATGGGGCATCTATTTCTGTGGAGCAGCTCATCTTATTCTTCGGGGCTCTTGCTCTTGAGAACATACCCACAAATGATTACATGAATCAGCGTCCAGGTGATTTTCTCCATTTTCAAGCAGTGCTGGAGGGAGCCACTGCCAAGATTCACAAAAGTGTTCTACACGTCACTGGTAGCTGAACAATATGACGATCACAGTATATAGAGGGCACTTAAATATAGAGAGAGATTTGTTTGGCGATACAATGTGACAGTACAGTGGATTGATACTCCAGTGCTTCAAGTGGTAGAGTAAGAGAAGTAAGAGATTGTAGCTCAGATCTTCCTCATCACTGTGATCTCTGTAATTCCATGAGAACAGATCCCAAGTAAACAACAATGCCAATTTATAAACTGGCATAAGACAAAATCAGAGGGCATGCATTCTAGCAGTTATCGTAAGAAAGGTATTGGTAGAGCCCTGGAAGTAAGTTAATTGCTTAGATAGGGGCTGGCACACAATGGTGTGGAATGGGAGAGGGAAGAGATTGGAGATAAAAATAAAACAATAAATAACAATGGCAATCCAAGAACAAGGTAAAGTATGCTTCGAGGCAACGAGACTCATTCCAGAGTATTGTGTTGATTGGTAACCCGTTGGACACCACTGAACGATGGAAATGCTTCTAAGTATTTACATTCTTTTGGAATATTAACCCTTTACATTTCCTTTGCAATGTGAGAGTGAGGGGAGGACAGTGAGTGAGAGAGCGAGAGAGAGAGAGAGAGAGAGAGAGAGAGAACAGCGAGTGAGAGAGCGAACAGTGAGTAAGAGAGAGTGGACAGTGAGTGAGAGAGAGAACAGTGAGAGAGAGTGGGGCAGTGATTGAGAGGCGTAGAGGGGGAGCTAAACATCAACCACAACCAAGGTGGCTGCACCCTCCAGGTATCTTGAAGGCAGAAAGTCTAATTTGTGTCTGCCAGTGAAGCCAGAGGCTGCTGAAAAATCCCCCCTGGATTAACAATGATTTATAACCAATTTTGCCTTTGTGTACTTTCAGTGTGCGTCTGGCTTAGGTGATCTGCTGCTGCGTTAACATTATGTTATGGGCATGAATAAAAGATCAAATTTAGTTGACCTTTTTAAAACCTCTGATACATACACAGTCTCCAAACTTTTCATTGCTCTGTTTTAGAGCTACAGGGGAATTAAGAACAGTGATGTGCATCATTTACCAGCAACAATCACTTGGGCACATTTTGGGAAATTTTGACAAGCCAGTACCTTCAGCACTTTAGTAGTCAATGCTTAATCCTGTTTCAGCCTATCTAAACTTGGATGTAACATTAAAAATTATTTGGAAAAAAGGCACTATTTTTGCATTATTACATCTTCTTCAGTACTATTGTAACTGCAGCGCTCTTCAAATATGTCATCATTAAGCATGAACAGCAGGGAGTTTTCAAGGATCCATTACCTTAGTCGATGAATCAACAGTTGCACCTCTCTCCAGTAATTCTTGCACAAGGTCCACATGTCCTTCCTTGGCTGCCAGATGCAATGCATTAAGGCCATTCTGCAACAAAGAAATACAAGCACTAAGATATGACTGGATCTCAAATAATTGTCACAGGAATTTATGTAAATGCCAAGATTCTGCGCTGACTAATGTAGGGGAATTATAATAATTCTTATCACATCATTGAGACTTCTCAAAGAGTTTCACAGGAATTGCTGCAAATGTAGTGACTGTGTATTTGTAGCTAAATGGAATGGGGTAGCCAATTGACTCACACCAATGCCCCAAAAGAAATCATGAAGTGAATGACAAATTTTATTTGGGGGATTTTTGGCCAGAATACTGGAAGAAACTCTCTTCTCCTTTTGAGTAGTGCCATAGAGTCTTTACATCCACCTGAAAAGGCAGACAGATCCTTGGTTTAATGTCTTATCCAAAGGATGGCACCTCTGGCAATGCAACTGCCACCACATTATTAGAGGGTCAGCCTAGGCCATGAGCTCAAAGTCCCGAAGTGGGGCTTGAACCCACAACTTTCTGATTCAGGGTGAGAGTACTACCACATGACCCAGGGTGAATTAAGTGGTTCACTGATATTCTGGCCTTTAGGTAAAAAGGCATCAAATTGACAAAAACTGTTGACATTTGTTCAGTTTTTACAAACACACTAAAAGACATATCAGCGCCTCACTTACACATGTTGCCACAGTGATGATCCTAACATACAGTTCTTCTGGTTCTACTCTATCCACAAATACTTTTTAATCAAATTTCTCAACCTGGGAAACCCCAGTTAATCTTAAAGCGAAAATCTTAACAAATCATGTCAAAAATTATTTAAAAGGTTAATACATTGGAATTGAAATAACACAAAAGCTTTTTATTGGACAGTAATCCTAAGCTTCTAAATGGGTCTAAAATACAGATATCGCAAATAGTCTTTGCTGTTGGCTTGTGTCGGGGCAATGAAGTAGCAGTATGTTGATTTTGCTTTGTTGAGTTACGCTGGTATCCAGAATAAGGTAATAATTCACCCCCAGAAAATCCTGGATATATCTTAACTTCATTCAGTTAAATGTGTTCAAAACAAAAGTGATCCTATTTGGCTCCCATCATCTTCCCAATTGCTCGTTCCATCTCATGGAGCCAGTGCGCAACCTCAGCATTCTGCGTGACCTTTTGCTGAATAAATGGAGCATGACTATCAAGTACAAGCCAGGGCTATGTAAATGAAGCAAGGCTGCAAGGTGCAAACTTGGCTGCAAATAAAATTGGCACTGGGTCCAGAAGCCAAAGAGGGGATTACTGAATCAGGCCAAAGTTAGTGTAGCTTGCTCCCAAAGCCTGGCTCCTCTGTTCCCAGTGAGTTTATGCCAGTCTCCCTGTCACTGTTTTCCACTCAATTGGTTCCAGGCACTGAAGTGAAAAAGTAATTCATCCATAGCAAAATACACTGGAGCAAAATGCAAGCCGGCCTCAACATTTTAGGGGTCTCCAGAAAAATTATTCATCAGGGGGTCTCACCAAGTCTTTCTCCTTCCACTACCATCTGATTTATTTCATCCCACTGAAAACTATCAGTGCAATTCATTTGAAAAGATATCCCTTTATTTTGATCAACTGGGTATCTGACCATAAGGACACCCATCACCAGACTTAAGAATTACCAAACCAAACCACTCAGAGCTCCTTATACACTTGTACACATATCATATTGCTTCTGTTGTAGTCTGATCATTAACTTCTCAGGTATCTTTCAGACTTTTATTCTTGATAAATTCTTCAATGAAGCTACAGTACAGTTCAATGGAGATTACAGTAAATTAGCATGGCCCAGCCTACCATCGGTGGCCAGGCTTTCAGCCTCTCTGTCCCCACCCTTTGGAACTCCATCTCACAATCCCTTCGCCTTGCTCCCTCTCTTGCCTCCTTCCAGGCACAACTCAAGACCCTCCTTTTCAACCATGCCTTCAGCCGCCCTCCAATCTCTCTGCCCTCTCTCATCCCAACCTGTCCCCCCACGCTCGGGTCCTGGATCCACAAATGCCTTGGTATGTCTTCCCGATGTCAAAGGTGTTTTACAATTAATTTTCCTGCTGCTGTTGTTTTCTTGGTTTCCTCAGTTGTCTTTGATCAGATACGGTTTCAGGAAAACATGCAGTTTATGCAAGTGCTGGGATACAGGTCCTGCAGTCTGTTACCAAAGTAAAACTCATCAACACTGAGTTAGGCGCAAGGTTCCAAAAGAGAGGGAGGAAGGAGGAGAGAACAGGATGGAGAAAGTTGCAGAGTTAGGAAGATGCCACATCTTGAAAGAATTTGGAACAAAACTATCCTGAAGAACTACAGGAACCCTTGCAATTTCAGAGAAACAATAGAGATCTGCTAACCCCCAAATATGATTTAACTCAAAGATGATGATCATAGTGGTAACTTTTTCAATGAGTAAAAAGTATTCAAACAAGAAACATCATGACGCATGATAGTATAAAATAACAAAGGAAGCAGAACAACATAATATCTTCTGGCCAACTATATATAATATCCTTCAAAAGGCATAGATCAGTGGTGGCCAACTTGTGGCCCTCGGGCCAGAAGTGGCCTATGGGGCCATCAAAAAGCAGCCTAGGTAATGAGTCTAGGTAAGACCGTGTTCAGTCAGTTGTGTGTTTTCAGTTTTTTCTTGATTGAATATTTCTTGATTTATGACATAATAAGAAATATTCAATCAAGAAAATGTATTTTGTTGGCCAACCAAAAAGGCATAGATACAAATGAGAGAAGAGTCCAGTACAAGAGGAAATCAGGTGAGCGCTCTACTTTAGTGGCCCATCCCTCTCTACCTTAAAAGCCTTTATTTTCGACTGTATTTTGGTCACCCATCCTTCCCCCCCACCTTTCCCAGTTCTCCCCATCCTCAAGTTGGGTTCCCAGATGGCTCTGTGAGGTGTTTGGGAGACATCCTCCCAATGTGGAAGGTGCTATAACTATAATATAGTTGTGGTCAAGCCAAAGCTTTAACAAGTAGAGTAGTCTTAGCTGGACAAACAGTGAGAAGCTTGTCAGATAGTGTTGTAATTGCAACCAGTGGTTTTATCTGTGTAAACCTCGGCAGTACCCCAACGTATACTCTGTGGTCTCCAAGCTTTGGTTCTCACTAACCTGCCCCTAATACTCTCAGGATTAAGTAAGCAGGGAATGCTTCTACCTTGGTGTATCTGAGAGTTTTGCTTTGGGTTTACTTTCTCTATCATGTTAAATGTCTCATTTACCTCCATACGGTCTCCTCTGAGGTATGCCTTTTATAGTATGATCAGAGCCTGTATCTTGTTCCTTCCTCATAGCTCACTCCTCTATCATTGGGGATCAGCTTTGCTGCTTTTCCCTGCAGTCTGACAGTAACAGAATCAGCTCACCATCCCTCAGAATAGTCTAAGCCTTCTCTACACTACATTTACTCAACAGAAGACAGCTATACTGCACCCCAAAGGCTAAACAGAAACAATATCTATTGTCTTAAAATTTAAGATAATGTGGAATTTGGCAAAAACAGATCTCAAATTCAGTTCATTTTGGAAGCATAAAATTGGTTTCCGAATAGGGACTGGCTTTATGCATTTTCCAAAATTCTGCAGCACCTTAAATCTTTAGGCAACAGTCTTAAGGCTAGGAACATGGAAAATGTTAGCGCCCAGCAATTTATAGACAAAGTACAAGAAAATAGGAATTTAGGAGACAAAATGCCAACCAGCTCTATGATTTAGATCAATAATGCATAATTCTGGACAACACAGGTTTATTTTAAGGAGCTGCTACCTTCTTATGAGGTCAGACACTCTATTTTTCCGAAGTCAATTGCACTCTGCTCTCAGCTGGCCTGTACACTGTACACTGGAATTGCTCCATCTCATTTTACCCTTTCCCTCCGAGGCAATCTCTGGGCTCCTTCCAGCTCATCTCTGTGCAGCGTTCATGAGGTTTGGGATTCTGTACATCAAATCTGCATTCCACGGCACTGTCACTATCCAAACCAACAATACTACTGGATATATGTCTCGTTTGTTGCAGTATCACTCCAATACCTCTGCTCCCTTTTAGCTCACAAATCCATCACAACACTGCATGCCTTCAGGTCACAGTGGTATCACTGTGCAATGACTAGATTTACATTTCTCTAGTTGCGGTGTCAGCCCTATTTCTCTCTGCACACTTTCTATCAAGAATCCAGCTCATCCCTTAATAAATCGACTCTGAGGTGCCTTGTTCCCATGATCATTTTTTTGTGAGGAATACTGCTCTGGCAGACGGAGATATATTAATTCTGATGTAGTTTCTTCACTGACATGCCGGAAACATTTAAAACGTTGAGATCCTCTCCCCCCTAGGAGGTGATGGTCTGCTTTTCCTGCTGAAGGGGAAAAAAAGCAGCCTGGACACCCACTGAGCCCAAGCCCTGGCTTGCACTGAAAGGTCTAGTTGAGCTGCAGTGCTGGGACTGGGAACGATGCCAATCCTCATTTAACATAATGGCAGCTGGCGAAAGACACACCAACTGGATACATCACCCAAGCTGGTCTTTCTCTGGCCTGGAGACCTGACATGGCACAACTCTAGCAGCTTGCTTTTTCAGTTTTGAAGAGGAAAGCCTTCTCCAAACAAATGATTTCCATTCCATCGATGGGAAGAACATCTTAGATTGAAAGTATTCACCGCTGTTACTCCACTTCCCTGACAAGCACCGCTTCCCCTCTAAGAGGAAAAATTCAATGGAATTTCCTCGATTGCATTTAATGTAATACAAAGAAAAGAACTTATCTTTGATTGAACTGCCACCCCTAAATGTGTAACCTGGCTTCTTTTAGTGCTTTCAGATGAATTACATCAAACCTCCAACCTTTTACAATCTCTCAAATGTTCTATTCCTTAAAGATCATTTTATTGTAATCTGCAGTATTTTGCTTGTTCTCACGTACATTTCAGACATTATCACCCATCACTTTACTGCTAGTCTGTACAGCAAAGAATACGGCACACAAACAGTGAATGAAAGGCTCTGCCAGGCTGTTTGTCTCCACACTATCTCGGGGCAGCTACACTGAGACTAAAGCATTCGAGGTTCTGTGTGGGAGTGAGAGGCTCAGATGAGCCGTGAGATGGATGAGATCTGATTTTAATTCCAACCATTTTCATAGAAACATGGTAATAATTGCAAGTAGACAATCTAATAAGCTTGAATCATTTTTAGTTGACAGGAACTTGTCTAGTCACTTTCCAAAACTCTTTGTAGCTTCTTCTTCCGCCAACCTGTGCTGGTCGTCTTCTTTTCTTTTTACTAAAACATTAAATCATCTACATTTCCTGCTCTTTCATTCAAGATATTTAAAGGCATCTTACTGACATGTTTTGTTGTAATTCAGTGATCACAATCACTATTACTAATTTATGTTATTGTGGAGCAGAGCGCAGAGATGAATTCTGAGATTCCATTGACTGACCCTTGCTAACCTCATAACATGTATATGTTCATCGTGTCACAAGCGATAAAATATGTAATTCAATAAGGAACAAAAGGCTCCCATACTACAAATCATTTATCAAATTAGCTTAAAGGGGAAATACAATTTCATTTTTCAATGATGTTTAATAGAGATGTCCACAAATTCCCCAGTGGAAATTCTCAGTCTTCCAATGATTAGATCAATGAAAACATATCAATCTATGGTGCTCAACAGAACAACTACAAGTAACGAATTAATTCAGCATCGGGTGTTAAAGGACAAGTGACATCCACGGGTCAAAGAGAACTGCTAATGAATTATGGTTGATGTATAGATTTCCATGGTTTCCAACGCTTGGAACCATCTTAAACCAAACGTACCTGATTGGATGTATTGATGTCTATACCTCCCTTGAGGTACTCGAGTACTTTATCCACATTCCCTGCTCTGGCAGCGCGGAGGAAGCTTGCGTTGCTGTCAGACTGCAAAAGAAAGAATACCCCAAATGAGTCATACATTTTAAAACCTGCTCCACCAAATGGCTGCTGAACAGCAAATGGCAATCCCATAGAGTGCCTAGTAAATAGATCACAATCAAGTTGAAAGTTTACCCCAAAATTGTGAGTTTTCAGAGTTCACAGCATTCAGATTTCAAACAGCAATTCTGGGCAGCCTACCGTAACGTCAGTTATCTCCAAAGAACTTTCTCTGTGTTTATAAAACTGCTATTCAAACTTTTTTTTGAAACCATCTCTCTGCAAAATTGAAATGGCCACCAGATCTAAATTGCAGTATGTTTCAATAGATTTCTTAATAGGAAATATGTAATTATTGATTTCTGTATCATCAAATATGCAAAAAACACATTATCAAATGTCTAAATCATTGAATTATATTAACTTAATATTCTATAAAAGAGAGAAATGTGCTGAAGAAGAATAATAATAATAGAGAAAACTCCTGATAACTTGACCCTGACATGTCACTATTACATAAGTCAACATGCTGTCAATATCCTGAACACATTTATTTATGTATTTATATCTGTGCCTAATTCACCACTCCAGATAACTTGTCACTGAACCCTTTTCCTTTGGAGTGACGAATTATCAGGAGTTCAATGTAAAACCTTCATTTGATTCAGTGCTTTTTTCAAGTCGTCAAAACGTCTCAAATCTACACAGGATTTACTATAAAGCATAGTGACTGTATAACTCAACTCTATTTTTCCACCTCTCTTTGCGACCCCCAGTCCCCTGATGTTCTGTCGGCCTGCCTGTCAGACCTCAGGGGCTGGGTGAGCACAAATTTTCTTCAGCTGAACTTTGACAAGATGGAAGCCATACTCTTTGGCTCTTGTCGACGTCTAAAATCTCACGGTTCTCACCTCCTCCACCTACCCAAACTCCCCCTAAACTCTCCGAGCCCATACGCAACCTAGGCTTCATGTTCAACCCCCAATTATCCTTCCTCCCCCACATCTAGTCTCTCACCAGCACCGCTTTCTTCCACCTCCAACGCATTGCCCGTCTCCACCAATACTTCACTCCAAAAGCCGCTGAAACCCTGGTCCATGCCTTTCCCACCTCTCGGCTGGACTATTCAAAGTCGCCGGCCTCCCCTCCACTACCATCCATAAAATCCAGATTATTCAAAACTCTGCTGCCCGCATTCTCACCCGCACCAAACTCCACTCCCCGATTACCCCAGTCCTTGTCAGACTGCACTGGCTGCCTGTCCCAGAGAGGATCGATTTCAAGATCGTCACCCTTGTATTCAAATCCCTCCACTCCCCTGCACCCCCCTACCTCTCTGATCTCCTCTCTCCTCACAACAGTGCCCATTGCCTTCGTTCCTTCGGGTCTGGCCTCATCCTTGTCCCCCGAGTCCTCCGCTCCACCCTCGGAGGCCGTGCCTTCAGCCACTATGTCCCGAGGCTCTGGAGCTCCTTTCCTCACTCCCTTCACCTCATCCCTTCTCTTCCTACTTTCAGGTCTCTGCTGAAGACCTTTCTTTTCGACCGCGCCTTTGGTCACCTTCCTCCCCCTCCCCCTGACTCAGCCCCGGGATCTATTACTTTGAAGTTACTGAGATGCCGTCCGACGTGGAGGGTGCTATATAAATCCAAGTTGTTGTTGTATATGTAGGTGTTTGCAGAAGCCAATTTGCACACAGCAGTGTCCCGAAAACAGCCATGACCAATTTAATTGAGAGGATTGTTGGCCAAGACACTGGGAGAAACTCTTTGAACAGTGCCATGGGATCTTTAATGTCCACTTGAACAGAAAGACAACGTCTTTCTGTTCAAGTGGAACAAGTTCAACGTCTATTCCAAAGAACGAATTTCTGGCAATGCAGTATTGCAAGCATTGCATTGGTTAACATCTACCTTAGCATTCTTAACTAATTTAATTGTTCAGAAATTTTGCCCACAAAGTATACAGTCAATTCACTTTACGGTATATTCCGTGAACCGCTTTGAGGCATCTCAAAGATGTGATAAGGCGCTATATCAAATGCAAGGCTTATTATTATTATTAATTGTATATTTTGTGTGAAGAATTTTGTTCCATAGTTTAAATTAAGCCCTAATTCAAGGAACAGTGATACAAAATATTAGTTTCCCCACCAGAATTCAGAAATTGCTGCTGACACAATCACTAGGGATACAAATCAAAAACACTTAACAAAACTTAAGATGGCTACAGCCCAATCCGCAGCATTAAATCAATGCAAACAATATATTCCTCCACCCTGTTCTGTTGGGTACTTTCAATTCAGTGTAAAAGGGACAAAATAATTCTGTATTAAATCCAAATTTCAGCACCAGGTAAGTTAGCAAGAGGAGCCTGCGGTCTTTAGCTAAACTGCATTACGTTTCATAAACTGGTCAACAGGGAGGGGTTGCATCTCAAACTCCGCCAATAGAAAGGATTGAAATTCTGCTGCACTGCAGTGATCTCACTGCACAGGATTCGCCCGTGTCCTCACGCATACCTTCTCCAGGATAAATACAGCGAAGGAATTGAATTTTAAATATAAATTGCAGAAACATTTCTCTGCACCATGGATGCCACTGTCCCCTCTCTAATCACAAAGCTTTCTTTATTTAAATTCATCTCCTAGGGAAAGCTGAGCTTAGGAATGTACTGAAAAAAAACCTGACAGCTGCATTAACATGCAGTGCCAGAGACTGCAGCGACTGGTATATAACACTGCAGCCTATCCCTATTCTGATTTTATCACTGACACTATTCTGATAATTGCTGTTTGAAATCTGAATTCTGTACACGTGATACAATGCTTCAGGGACTGTGATGCCTTCTATAGTCCACACTGGCAAAAGGTGTGGTAGCAATATAGCAACAGCATCAAAGTTCTCGTTTCTCACGGACTTCTGTAATTTAGATTTTGTAATTTAGCCATGATCACTAGTGGGTTTGACAAGAAGGTCTGCAAATGCTTTGCGTGTGGGTTTTTGTTAAAGTGGTCCTTGGTACTGTGTTGAATAGTTTCAATTTTGTGTATCTCCATCACTGGTATCCTACCAAGCTAGTTCAGTATACAAAGCAGTGTATTACAGCAATGGCTGAGCATGTAGCATCCATGTGAGTCAGCCAGCCCACAGAGTTGGCACAAAACAAAGCCTCATTGCTCTCCTTGATCCACATCAACCACTGCAGTGGCCAAACTCATGTTTCTTCATGCAACTTGCTTCACTGAATTGACGTCAAGGTTCAAAATATCACATGCATTTTACTTTCTATTTTTCTCTGCCTGCCAGAACGTCATTATGTTACGTTACATGATCTATATTTGCACACCCTACACATCAGCTCATAGTTGTGAAATACTGTAGCTATTATTGAATGTAGAAATTACTATTAAATATGTGGCCGTGGAGGGTAAAATGCTGGAACACATAGTCAGTGTTCATATAACATTGTAAATCATTAAATCACCTCTGATCGACCAAAGTGAGTCAATAGGCTGTATGACAATACGTTGCAAAGATAATGGGTTAATAATTGTGGTATTCCTTAAAACATTCTGTTCCTCAACTATTCCAATAATTAAGGAATTCTTTATCAACTGTAAACAATCCGCAATGACAATTCTGGCACTGGTTGGAGGGACACCGGCTGATGTTGCGAAATTAGCTTCTCCCTCCAAGCCGTTCAGAATTGAATCACTGCCATCATTGTTTTTTAATAAAGTGAGAGAGTCGATTCTTTGCCTGTCAGTCGACAGAAACAATCTGTAACTTAAATGTTCGGGATCTGACAATGAAATCCAAATCTCTCTGGATCTTGCCTGAACATTTCTGAGTCTGTACATTATTGGTAGCACTAAGAAACATATTGCTGGAATAAACCAAAACACCGTCATCTTGCTCGGATTTTGATTTTGGAGTAAGATATTTCTGCAGCCTGTTGGGTAATCACAAATGTACTGCTGTACATCTCTGGGCCATTAGAGATGAGTGTTAACACAATCCATTGTAATGTAGTAAGATTTATACCACAGTATCAGGATGCCTCCTTTCTCTATATATGCCAGGAATTGCTGTGTATTTAACAGCACAGCAGGGCTTTCACAAATATGACACCGACACATCTACATAAACTGATCACTCTGTTCCACTAGTCAATGACCATTGGCCCTATTTACATGAAGTCAATAATATCAATACTTTGCCTGACAATATTAAATCCATTCAATAATGACAAGAGTTGCTCTTCTGGACACTTTTCATGCAACTGCTGCTTGGCTGAATGATGTTCCCTCAGAAGGTCAATTCATTCTGAATGGACGTTTGGCACAGGAAAAATAACGATGGGTTACCATAATTTGTCAGAAACAAGTAAATGTAGAATAAAGTACAATTGGTCACATGTGACCCTTCAGTATGAGTTCTGGTGATGGTCCGTACTCAACTCTACTTTTGGCCTTGGGTTGCTGATTTAAACCTGACCTGCAAGATTTTGTGTTTTTATTTCAGGGGAAAGATGATGGAAAGCACGGTCAGAACGGTATATCTTGAGATGGACCTTGAATGAGGGGAGACAGTAAGTGAGTCAGAGTAGAATGTAACCTTTACTATTACAATTTAAAGGGATAGTGTCTTTTTAACTAAAAAGTAAAGATGAAAATGATGTTAATTATGTCAATGGGGGAAAAATGCAACATCCAATGCAACATTGTTAATAATAATGATTATTATAATGATAGTCATTGCATTTGATATAGTGCCAGTCATTGACTAGGACATTACCAGGAGCAAAAAATCCAACGATTATGTTTCACTCTCCCCAGATCTCTTTCCAACCTGTACCTAAACTAGGTGCTTTTCTGAACAGCATTCCCATTTCATACCAAAAAATGGAAAGTATACCTTGCAGAACACTCAATAGTTTGGTTTGGAGTCTCTTAAATATGTATGTATTTAAATTCTATGTATTTAAATATACCCAGTGATTTT